TGACATGATATGCCATGAATAACACTTTGCAATTAAATATGTAGTCCAGCCAGGGTAAGCAGTAAATTTGCACTCCATAGGCATCCTTCAGTCTCGAGAGACCATGGTTACATGCTCTGAATTGAGGAGTGTCCTCTCCAGAGCATGAAGCCTGGGTAAAATAATATGGAGGATAGGCTGTTACCCAAGGAGCAGATCCCCCCTCTCCACGTCACTGAAATGGTCCAATGGAAAGGCAAGAGCCAATACAACTAGTTCCAGCAGCGTCGCAGGAGTTGGCAGAACAACACCAACTGCCTTCGGGACTCCAGCTCTGGATACATTTGCACTAGATCCAGGTCTAAAACAAAGCACATTCTAGACTCAGGTGTGAAAAAACTCCTCTGGTTTTATAAATGACAAATATTTCCTTACCCAGGATGCTTTTTTAAAAAAGCAAACCCTAAACTCTTTTGTTTCCTCAAAGCTCGTTTATTCTTGCTATGAGAGGGCACCCTCCAAGCTAGTTCTCATATGTTTAGCACAATGTGCATATACATCTATCTATCTATCTATCTATCTATCTATCTATCTATCTATCTATCTATCTATCTATCTATCTATCTATCTATCTATCTATCTATCTATCTATCTATCTATTTATTGCATTTGTACCCCGCCCAGTTAGTCAACTGACTACATTGAGAGTCACAGTCACTCTTATGATCTGAAATGTGTACATCTGTCTTGGCAGCTAATATCTAGAGCAAATATTACCATGAAGATAAAGCTTAGATTTGATGTCTGCTCTCTTCCACCTTGAAGATACATTGGAGGTAAAACTGTATGAAATAAAATGTTTATAGCTAGAAGCTAAAGGCACAGTTTCTCTCAGTGGCCACAGTTCTTTCAAAACCCCACACTTGAACAATCAGACTTGCAAATGAAGCCCCTCTTTACCTCCTGATGACAACCACAAAACCAAAGCAAGCTACAAGAAGCTCTCCGTTGCATCAAGGAGAGGTGATGAAAATACAAGATGAGATAAAGAGATGCATTTTGCTCTTAAAGGAGCTCCGCTTCTAAAGCTGTCATAACTGTACCATTTAGTTCAATGCTTTCTTCCCCCAACAAGGACAAAAGGATATCTAAGTTACCATGCGTTATTTTAAAATCCTCTGCTTTTACCCCCATTCTTCCCCTTTTACTGCCTCCTCCTACCATCCAAAACCTAACCAATTATAAGTAATCAGAACCAATATTCACCCAAGGCCTGAAATTCCCTGAAAGATTTATTAAATTTCTAACACTTTCCATACAAAAAAGTCAGCAATAGTTGTTGCATTATAATGTGCAACAAGGCTGGTTCAGCACATACTTGCTGTCGAGGTAGTGCTCCATCAGTTTTATATGAACACCCATGAACAAATGAAGGAAAGGGAGCACAGAGAGCATGATGAATTGTCTGAATTTTTATTCATTTATTTAAAGGTTTTGGTTGTTAATTATATGAAGTGTTTCTTTTATTACATTTTGATTTGCTTTATGTTTGTTTCATTCTGGATATAAACCACCTAGAGTAGTTTTTATAACTAATCAGTGCAGTATACAAGTTCAATAAACAAATAATAAATAGTACAGCTACCTGAGGTAGTATAACAAATGGTATTCCCAACTCAAATCCAGATGTGTAGTTCCCAGGGCTGGTAAATTATTTCAGCACCTGAAACAGTCTCACAAGTATCTCTCACATCACTACAAGACACTGAAATCAAGGGGTCTACTCTACTTATAGCTAGGTCTGGATCCAGCCCAATAATAATACATTCAGTGGGCAAAATCCTGTTGGTGTACCTTTGTGCCAGCATGAGCTGGGTCAGGCACTGGAAAACATGCAATTAAAAGTAATTTAAAGCTTCATGTTCCCCTGTTTTAGGGATCCCCTTTGGCCTGTGGAAGCCTTAAGGAGCCTCTGGATGAGGGGTAGGTAGGATTGGCTTCTAATACCAAAACATTGCCACTATAGGGATCCCCTTTGGCCTGTGGAAGCCTTTAGGAGCCTCTGGATGAGGGGTAGGTAGGACTGGCTTCTAATAACAAAACATTGCCAGCAGATCACCACTGCCCGGATGGGGATGGGCTGTGGGAATCCAGCAGTGATTTTTTACTTTTAAAGGACCCCCTCAAACATCAGAGGCTCCACAGGCCACATGGGAGCCCTAGGAAGCCCCAGAACCCAACACAGGAAGCTTTTAATTAGGTTTAATTAAATGTTTTGAGCATCTGATCCAGGCTCCATTGGTAAAAAATTTTATGTCAACAAGATTATGCCCATAAACAAAAAATATTTGCTGCCCAATCATAAGCAACCAAATCAGCTGCCATTCTTGCTTAGCAAAATGTCTCGGGCCAGCCCTTTTCCCAAGAATTTGACACATCATAACGCTAATGTTAGGACCAGTTCTATGCAAGTGTGTTACTTGTGAATTTTAGATGAGAATGGACCTTGGCCAGCCTGGAGTACCAGAAGAGGACTCAGCCTCCTCCCCTCAACCAGTAATGGGCTCTGTTACCATGTGGCCAAACAACTTTATAGCAGGGAAGAAACAGAATATTTGGGATACACAACATGAGACAGACTCTTGGGCAGGTTTGGAAAGATCGGGTGGGATTTGTTCCATGCCCTGAAGCAAACTACAGTTCTTTAATAGCCACCATTCCTATGCTATTAACTCGTATTATCTATGTTATAATGCATGAGCCACAAGTTGAGATCAAGAGCTAGCAAGATGTGTCATGCCTCTAGGAATCAAATGTCCTGAGGATAAGGAATATGTTCAGTAAAACACACCCAGCCAGCTAAAGGGAGCTGTCTGTGCCACACACTGAGGAAGAAGAACAAAAAACAGACAAACCAATAAAACAGAGGTTTTATAAAAAACCAACCAACCACACCCACACCTGCCCACACACATCCCAAACAAGGTCCTAGGAGAAAATTAGAGTATAATGGTGTGCCACACTTTCTCAACATAAGTTTTTCCTATCTGAGATTATACCTTTACTCATTCTTGCAGCCAGTTTGTGATGCTTTAGAATAAGGATGACCAACTTTGGTGGATCCAGGGACTAATTTTCTGCCCCTGGAGCTCTCCAGAGACCACACAGACTACTCGCTCTACATCTGCAGGTAGAACTGCTTTGGCAAATGCTAGAAGAGTATTCTGTTCACTGTCTCTTTGTTTCGGGGATATGCAAATCAGGGGTACTATGATTGTGACTGAGTGCTGTCCACTTAGCAAGGCTGTCTAGTTCAACGTCCTCAAGATGAACAAAACAGCCCATACCAAGAAGCAACTCCAGAAGTTCTGAAGATACTTGTCCTTGAGCTGCACAAACAAACCTTTTCTAAAGACCCAGATGTTTTGTGTAGTCTGAATGGTACGGGGTCTGGTAATATCAAGGGACCTGGATGATATTTTTGTTTATAAGTGCCAGCTGAACATGTAAAGAAAAATAAAAGGGAAGTCACAGATGTGTTCTTTTTTTAAATGATGGGTCAGGGAGGCAAGAGGACAGAAGTCCATCACACTTCAAAAATGTTGTTTTGTGTGTGTCTAATGATGCAGGGGATCTCGAAAACCTGTTTAAAAAATGAATCGCTGTTCCTGGAGGCTTCTGGGAGCAGGAATTTAGCTCTTATTGACAGAGGGAAAAGAAGATGGAGAGAAGAGCCAGGGGCCACAAAGAAGAAATACGGTATACCATTCCAGGGGCACATTTTTGCCCTTTCCTGCTTTTAGAAGAATTTAACATTGTCAGGGTGTATGTGTGTGTGATTTATTCTGGCTTCTTTGAGCAGTTATTAATACACCCAAATGAAACTCACACAACACCCTTATGTACAACTCAATTTCAGTATTCCCAGGTTCTTTACTCCTGGAATTCTCAGGCACAAACCTTCTTCTGAAACAATAGTATTTTCTATCACATATTCGCCATGTTTATGAAAATGTTTAACAGTGCAATTCTACATCTGCCTTATTAGAAATAAGCCCCACAGTTTTCATTGGGACTTACAAACTGACATCAGGTTGCAGCCTCGCCAGTTTCATATGGGAGACAGGATTTACAAAAAGGTGAACAAATATGCCCACCGTCACAGTTAATGACAAGAAAAATATATACAAATTATATTAGGAACCACTAGTGGCTAACGAGTCATCTTTTAACGTATGTTAATTTTTCAGAGTTCATGACACAACCTTAACTGCACAGTTGTATACCAGAAGACAAATGAAATTAGTAATTTCTAATAAATTACTCTCTTTTGATAAATACTCAGCGGTCCATACCTATTCTGTCTATCAAAATTAACACAAAATTCCTTTGCTAGAGTTTGAAGCAAACAACATGCACTGAGATACAAACAATATGCACTGAAACAGAATTCACATCCAATGTTCACAGAACTAGCACAGAATAAATATATTTTTGGAATTATGATGAGATAGCTCTTTGTTTCAAGTAGTTGTACAGTATATCTTTCTTTGAAATGTTGCAGGCTGTTTTACTTTCAAGATTTGAACACAAGCACATCTGTCTCTAGAAATAATTATTTGTTTATGAATAGCTTTCTAATAAGCTTGCATTAATTTACATGCTTACCAGGAAATAAATCTAACTGGTTTTAGAAGAATTTACTTTCAAGTATCTATAAGAATGAGATATATGTATCCAACGGAAATATATACTTGTCCTATGCTAAAATGTTGGTTTACTTTTCAGAGTAATTTATTCCCTGGGTATATCTATTCCCTTTACATCCCTGTAAACTTATTTTCTCCTGCAAAATGAAATTGAACCAATAGTCATTTTCTGTATCAAGAGCTGCAGACATTCTACAACAGATTAAATTCTGTGACTATCATTTGCCCAGAATTTAATGTTATCTCTCCAAAGTGCCTGATGGCGATATAGAAGAAATCAGTTTCTTTCCCCAAGTTAATTGTGTTACATACCCAACGTGCTTTTGTTGGTAATCCTTATTGTTTCTTTTCTACCAAAAATCCAGATGTTATTCCACTTGACCCTCTCCACAGCCCTCCTTCAGTAGTGTGTGATTTCTGAATGATCCCCAACAACTGCTGGATCTGTCCCGTATTTAATCTCTTTTAACCTGCCTGCCCACCCCCCCAAACATGTGTGCTCTCTTCCTCAAATCTTTTCACTTGAACAAGTCCTAACAAAGGTGTGTCATGGTTTCCTGCCTTACTCCACCCTATCAATTATCTGACACTGTGAGTTTTAGAAAAAAAAACCTGCCTCCAGGAATCAAATTTAACTACTGGGAAAGAAAAGCATCAAGAAGAACCCTGCTAGATCAGACCACAGGCTGTTTAGTTCAGCATCCTGCTTCCCACAGTGGCCAACCAGATGCCTATGAGAAGCCCACAAGGAGGACATAAAAGTTATTGTTGTTATGTACTGTCAAGGCACTTCCAACCTGTGGCAATCCCAATACGCTTTTCAAATATGAGACATATTCATGGAGAGACATAGTACCACTGGCACACCCAATACATTTAGGAGGTTGGGAGGGATTTGAACCCGGGTCTCTTAAATGCTAACCTGACACTCAATCCACTACACAACACACCTCTGATAAACATAAAAACAATTGTTATCCATAGAACATAGAATTCTAGAAGACTAAGGTTGGAAGACCTCATAGGGATAATTGAGTCCAGCCCCCTGCCAAAGAGGCCTGACAGGCATTCATCCAACCACTGTCCAAAAACCTCCAACACTGGCGATTCTGTCATCCTCTGAGGCAGTCCCTTCTATTGCTGAACAACATTTCACTGTTTGGAAGTTTTTCCGAAGACAAATCTTTTTTCCTGTAAATGTAAATCCATTACATCAGACTCTGCCCTCTGGACCTACAGAAAACAAGCTTGCCACATTTTTCATGTGACATGCTCTTAGGTATTTGAAGATGATATTCATATCACCACTCCGTCTTTTTTGTCTTTAGACTGAACATATCCATTTCCTTCAACCCTTCCTTGAAGGCTTCATTTCAAAACCGTTTATCATCACAGTTGTCCTCCTCTGGAGACATTCCAACTTCTCAATATCCTTTTTAAATGGCCGTGTCCAGAACTAGAGACAGGTGAGATCTGACCAATGAGGAATAGAGTAGTACTATTACTTTTTTGATTTCAACATTATAATCTTGCCAGTGCAGTTAAGTATCATGTTAACTTTACTGCTGTATCACACTGTTGATTCCTTTTTTATATGCACTACTGTCAAGCCAGCTGTCTCCTGTCCTGTATTTGTGCACCTGATTTTTTTTCCTGCTTAAATGTAGAGCTTTTCATGTTGTAGAATGTAAATTTTTTTCCCTGATGAAAGTCATTTTGTTTATTTTCTCCAGTCTGTTAAGGTTCCCCTGAAACATCACTCTATCTTTTGAAGTATTAGCCACCCTTCCCAGTCTGTGAATTTAATAAGCATTCCCTCCAGACCACATTCAACTTGCTTACAAAAATGTTGAACAACACCGGGCCTAGGACAGAACCCATGACACCCTCCTTGTCACTCCTTTCCATGTTGATGAGGAACCATTGGCAAACACTCTTTGGGTACAGTCATCAACCAGCTACAAATCTACTTATTGGTAGCATCATCCAGCCAGCATCTTAACAATTTGGGTTCAAGAATACCATGATGTGCCTTGTCAAAGAAATATCACAGGGCAGAGAACAGATCTGAAGGTTATCTCATCTTGCACTTTCTATAGCCAAACACGTACAGCAAACTAAACTAGATAATCTAAGACAGTAAGGTACTATTAGCAGAAGGGAAAGGATACATAATGCTGGAAAAAGAATGAATGCCAGTGATGCAAGCCCACAGTAAGATATAGGAACATGAATGCTGCAAAACTGCATAAGACAATGGTTCATTCAGACAAATGTTTTGCCTCTAATTCTTCTGTGGCTGATATTGTAGAGGAAATGTCCAAGACCACAGGATGTCAGTGAAGTCAAGCTTACCCTCTTATAAGGTAAATTGAAGTATTTTGTCTCAGATGGTAAATCAAAAGGGCAGCAAATCATGTCCCACCCCCACCACTAGCAGAATCGCATACTGTTTTTGGCACACTTCTAGAAAAGCCAAAGGCCTCACTCTGAGCACTCTTCTGAATGAGGTATCAGGGCAGGTAGTTATTTCACACAGCTGTGTAGCTGGTCTTCTGGGGTAGCAAATGCAGAAGCCTGTGGAGTGGTTTTATTGATGTCTCACTCTGAGGATCTTTTAGAGTGAAAGCTTTAAGTCTTCCAAAGATCCCATCAAGCCAAACGACATTGTCATGAGGAAGGTTCCCCTTCACACGATGAACTAAAGAGGGAGGGAAGTGCACATCTTCCTTTGGCAGGCTGTATCCGCACCACACTTCAGTATCAGCACATTCTGTTTCTTTTATACTGTGCACACTGAACACATATGTAAGCTCACACATAGTTCTCAGCTTTTGATTTTAAAAATTCTGCTATGTGTCTGTACCCAAAGGTTTGACGTTTGGGGTCAAGAAGGACAACTACACAGAAAAGCAAGCATGAAGCAATTGCCAAAGTAGGTACTTTCCCAGCGTCAAACTGATCTGCTACTACCCACCTTGTTTCCCTTGGATCAGCAGAAATTGCATAGAGTAAAAACTACACACATGTAACCAGAAGTTTCATGTGCATCGTGTCATCTGCTGGAACTAAGCTCAATAACCTGGTCTTGTACTGTGAACATTCTGCCTGCAGCTTGGTATGCACTTTAAGTGAATATGATTATGCGTTTTGTGGTTATCTTTCTGTGGAAATACAGTGCCACTGTAGAGTTTAATCATTAGTCACACTGGACTTTATTGTGTCTGGGTGGAGTCAGACAACAAAGTTCTTGTCTGGTTTCCTGTCTATTATGTTCTCTAAGGCCTCCATATGTTTTAACTCAAGACATTTCAGTTGTGCTGAAACAGTATATTCATTTAAACAAAGGTAGAAATAAGCCCTCCCCCCATATTTATTTCAACAAAGGTTGAAATAAGCCCCTCCCCTATATTTTTTTCAACAAATGTTTAAATACACATAGGGGAGGGGGGTTCAAGTTTTTTAGTAGAAACAGTAAAGACTTTATCTAGCTATGGGAGTCTAGCTATGGGCTTGGAAGTGTCGAGTTACAAGTAGTGAAGAAATATTTCAGAAGGAATGTCATGGAGTAGGAATAACATTAGCTATGTGGCTTGCTTTTAAATAAATAAACAATGTTGTCTAGTTATTTTTTGAATCTTTCAAATGACATTTGAGTGGAATTTCTCAACTTCTCTACCATCTTCATATCAATAACATGTTAAAAAATAATGAAAGGGTAAATCATAAAAAAGTAAGCAACATGAACATGAAAAATTTTTGCCTGACAACATTAATGGTAATGAATTACTGAAGAGGTACTTTTTTCCCACTGTGGTGTAGTGGCAGAGTGTAGGACTAGGATTCAGGATTTGAATCTCCACTGAGCCATGGCAACACCACTCGTTAAACATCTCACTTACCTTGAGAACCCTATTAGGGTCACTATAAGTTGGTTCCAACTTGATGTCACATCATAATAATTATTTTCCAAGCTTTGATTTGGCTTCTGAACTGCTGTGTCCCCCAAACCACAATAATATTCAATCTTTCCTCTAAGAATCCCTTTATAACAATCCTGTGACATATGTTAGGCTGAGAGATAGACTCTGGCCCAAAGATTACCAGCGGGCATCACATCTGAGTGGGCATTTGAGTAGGGATCTTCTCAGTCCAACATTCTGATCACAATGGCTCTAAAACAAATGTCCGCTTGCTTGAACAAGTCCAGCAGCCAAATGAACTTTTGTGGGTTTGTACTCATCGAATACTGATAACTGGCCAACCCAATTCCATTTTTCCTGACCAATTGGTAACACAACTTGCATCGTCCATGTCATTCCAGGTAGCACTACTCATAACAATTGCTATGCAAACCCTGGCATTAGACCAGTGTTTTCTGGAGCATGTGCATCAAATGTGGAATGCACATAATTGTGGACACATGTTTAGACACCAGTGCACCTGGTCCAAGAAGTATTTATATGCAGAATGAATTTGCCTCAGAAAATATTGGCACAGCCATCAGTATACAGCATAGCTATTTCAAAACACTTGTATCACCATAGTCTTGAAAAAAGGATGGAAAATTCAATTTATATGCAGAATGAATTTGCCTCAGAAAATATTGGTACAGCCATCAGTATACAGCAGTGGTTCTTAACCTTTTTTACTCGGATGCTTTTGAGCTGCAACTCCCAGAAATCCCAGTCAGGACAGCTGGTGGTGAAGGCTTCTGGGAGTTGCAGTCCAAAACTCCTGAGTAACCCAAAGTTAAGAACCAGTGGTATACAGCATAGCTATTTCAAAACACCTGTATCACCATAGTCTTGAAAAAATGATGGAAAAATCTTATGTTGATCCCCAGAGAAAAATGTTCTTCCCTTTACTATATACTTTGCTTGTTACAATTTTGCCCTGCCTTTCCTCTAATCAGCTGAAGACAGCACATATATCTGTCCTCCGACGTTATCTTTATAACAATGTTGTAAGATTCATGAAGCTGAAACTGTGACTAGCCCAAGATCACCCAGTGATTTTCATGGTCAAGTGGGCATTTGAACCCTGCTCTTTCAAATCCTTCTCCAACCTTGGGCCTCCAGATGTTCTTGGACTACAAGTCCCAGAAGCCTTCACCACCACCTCTGCTGGCCAGGATTTCTGGGAGTTGAAGTCCAAGAACATCTGGAGGCCCAGGGTTGGGGACCACTGCTCTAATCAGCTGAAGACAGCACATACTGTATATCTGTCCTCCCACATTATCTTTATAACAACTTTGTAACATTCATGAAGCTGAAATTGTGACTAGCCCAAGATCACCCAGTGAGTTTCATGGTCAAGTGGGCATTTGGACCCTGCTCTTTCAAATCCTTCTCCAACACTTTAATCACAACACTCCACTGGTACTGCTTAGC